ACACAGTGACCTGGGATGGTAAAGTCAACCAGTGACCTGGGATGGTATGTCAACCAGTGACCTGGGATGGTATGTCAACCAGTGACCTGGGATGGTATGTCAACCAGTGACCTGGGATGGTATGTCAACCAGTGACCTGGGATGGTATGTCAACACAGTGACCTGGGATGGTATGTCAACCAGTGACCTGGGATGGTTTTGTCAACCAGTGACCTGGATGGTATGTCAACCAGTGACATGGGATGGTATGTCAACCAGTGACCTGGGATGGTATGTCAACACAGTGACCTGGGATGGTATGTCAACCAGTGACCTGGGATGGTATGTCAACCAGTGACCTGGGATGGTATGTCAACCAGTGACCTGGGATGGTGTGTCAACACAGTGACCTGGGATGGTATGTCAACCAGTGACCTGGGATGGTATGTCAACACAGTGACCTGGGATGGTATGTCAACACAGTGACCTGGGATGGTATGTCAACACAGTGACCTGGGATGGTGTGTCAACACAGTGACCTGGGATGGTATGTCAACCAGTGACCTGGGATGGTATGTCAACCAGTGACCTGGGATGGTGTGTCAACACAGTGACCTGGGTTGGTATGTCAACCAGTGACCTGGGATGGTATGTCAACCAGTGACCTGGGATGGTATGTCAACACAGTGACCTGGGATGGAATGTCAACCAGTGACCTGGGATGGTATGTCAACACAGTGACCTGGGATGGTATGTCACCAGTGACCTGGGATGGTATGTCAACCAGTGACCTGGGATGGTATGTTTACACAGTGACCTGGGATGGTATGTCAACCAGTGACCTGGGATGGTATGTCAACCAGTGTCCTGGTGTGGTATGTCAACACAGTGACCTGGGATGGTATGTCAACCAGTGACCTGGGATGGTATGTCAACACAGTGTCCTGGGATGGTATGTCAACACTGTGACCTGGGATGGTATGTCAACCAGTGACCTGGGATGGTATGTCAACACAGTGTCCTGGGATGGTATGTCAACACTGTGACCTGGGATGGTATGTCAACACAGTGACCTGGGATGGTGTGTCAACACAGTGACCTGGGATGGTGTGTCAACAAAGTGACCTGGGATGGTATGTCAACCAGTGACCTGGGATGGTATGTCAACCAGTGACCTGGGATGGTATGTCAACACAGTGACCTGGGATAGTATGTCATTCAATGTTCACTTACAAAATGTTTATCACTGAAAAGTCAGTGATGAACACAATATAAATAAGACTATATAAGATTTTATATATAAACAAATCGATCAGCCTGAAAGAATCTCAGAGTCGTAATTCACCAGCCAGCTGACGCAACTGGTACCAGACTGTTGATAGAAAATGTAAAATAAGTGAATAAATATTTTCACTATAACTGTAAAGATCAATCTAAAAACCACGAAATTTGATAGGCCTATGAACTCGTGTACTAGTACCACTCAAATCCAACCCTTACCCAAAGTTTTACCTTCAATAATCCTACTAGGCGGTCTGTTCCACTAATCGACTACTCTATATCCTAACCAGTAATTTCCTGTATCTTTTCTAAATTTAACTTATCCATTTGAATCCATTATTTCGAGTTCTTTCCTGAGGGGATATCCTCAGAACCTTATTTATATCTCCCTTAATTTTGCCTTTCTACTTATACACTTCAATCACGTCATCCCTCATTCTACGACTCAATTGAGAATGTAGGTTAAGGGATTTCACTCTTTCTTCGTATGGAAGATTTCTTATGCAATCGATTAATTTTATCATTCTCTGATGAATTTAAATCCATTCTGTAATATGGAGACCTGAATTGAGCTGCATAATCTAAGTGAGGCCTTACTAATGATGTGCAAATTTGTAGTATAACGTCTGGACACCTGTTACTTATACTTCTTGATGTAAATCAGAATTATATGATGGGAAACAAACAGGTTTGATCCATCAGAGAGTCTGGCTCACAGGTGTGGCTAACACGTGTTCATCACATGTGTGGCTCACAGTCTACCACTAGTGGCTAATGATAGCCAAACGTACTAGCGTCCAGTTTATACCATAAGAACGAATGCCAGTTCAGGCATTCACCCAACTTGGTGCTTCACCTCGACAAACTGTGCCAGACATAACGGCCGACGAACCACCCAACTAACTTCATTTGTCTCTATTCTTTTTATGTGGTACACTTTTATCAAATTTCATATTTATAAAACGCCAGAGGTAAAAATAAAAAAAAATATGTCACAGTTCCTACCCGGCACTTCAATTTTCCCATGTAATTTATAGCTTCCGGGACACGCTGCTTTTCATTAATTAAATTTCTGCAAGCTATTAAAAAATCTTGGCCATAAATACTTCTCATCATTGAGCTCTATAACTTTTATTATTGTGAAGGAAGATAAATATTGTCAGCGTTATCGAAAACGGTCATTTGTATCCCTAAGATGTCTCTCTCTCTCTCTCTCTGTCACTCTTTATCTCTGGTTTAGAATGTCACTTTGGGAACCTTGCCAGTTTCCCTGTAGTGGAATCGAATCCTGCTGACTGCGATCTTTCTCTGTATATACTCTCTTGTTTCTTCGTGGGGCACTGATATAAAAGTCGCATGTGAGGTCATAACATACAGGAAGAGAATGAAAAAGCTTGAAACTATGCTTGAGGCTCACTGGTATGCCCGGGCTGGGAAAGACACATGGCTTATGAACCAGGCTGTCCAGCTTATGTGGCATTTGTAGTTGAGTGGTAGAGCATCACTTTGGGAACCTTGCCAGTTTCCCTGTAGTGGGGTTGAATCTTGCGGACTGCGATCTTTCTCTCTCTCTCTCAATATATATATATATATATATATATATATATATATATATATATATATATATATATATATATATATATATATATATATATATATATATATATCGTCTAAATTATTACAATAAAATACAACTCTAGAAATTAAGAATCATGCACGAATGTAAATCATCCATTCATAAACGCAATATGAACATAAAATATAAAATTATCATATTAAACACGTCCAAACGTTAATTCTAAACCTGGAAAAAATAATCTAAATGACATCAAATTTTATAAAAATGATAATAACAACAATGATACCTTGAAAACACTGAAACATTGTTAACACTCTTAAGGAACTTACTCATCCTTGAGAGAACTTTAACCTCCACATCTTTAAGACTGGTGGAGATGCTACAGGTCAGACAACTGCTAGACAGTCTGCCTTTTCTTTTTAATGTGGTGTGGTAGGTTGCTGGGGCAGACCAGCAGGTGCTTAATCACTGTCCGGATCATCATCATCTAGCAAAGATCCGCGTCACGGGACACCCTTGTGTTTCCTGACGAATAAAACACCACCGCTAAGAGATGCCCAGTATATTTTGTTTAGTTCCTGCGAGGCGCGCCCATCTCACCCTCTTTTTTTCCAACTAATTTCCAAGCTATCTTTATATTTCTGATAAATGCAGCTGTGACATTATTTTTGTATAAATGGTTTTAAATGACATATTAAATAGTTATATTATTATGTGTAACCCATATTTTTAAATGCTTCCTTAAAATTATCTTTTTATTTCAAGTGATGGAGATGACAAAATAAATTGCAGAAAACACTTTGAAAAGTTTGTAATAAACATTTGCTTATTTTCTGTAAACACTGTGTAATATTGAATGTTTAGGAAACACCGTTTTTTTGGAAATTTATAACACAGTATATATAAAGTCTATAAATTAAGTGGAAGACATAATAAACGTTTATCCATGAATAAACAGAGACAAGGGACAGAGATTCGAACCGTGGTCCTGTGACTAGCAGGCCCTACGCTGTGTCATCCAGCCACGATTATTTCTGTGATAAATTACACCATCCTCTACCCCCCATCCACGAACTCTTTATCGACTTTATGCTTTTGAAGGGTAAAGAATTATATTCACCAGAAAGCAAAAGGGACTGTGATAAGGGACAGGAACATCACAGACGGTGGAGGCTGGTGCAGTGTGCGGCTGGACTAACAAATGTAAGACTTTCCTGTTCAAATTCACCTTGGCTCCATGATACAGCGCTGGACACTTAATACTGGCAGGTCAAGTTAACTGCTTGACCAACTATGCATATGGGAACTTCAGTAAGAACTACACAAATCCGTCACCCACTGGACCGGGAACTGTCACCAGCGGCCACCAACTGTGAACCCTGACTGCAAGTTTTTACAGAGATTTACTAGCGTCCCTACAAGGTTTATTGCTGTTTCTCGGTTACATTAACAGTAACTGAAGACGGGATATCTCCGTAAAGACTTGAAGTATAGATGGTGACCGATCATAACATTTGCCAGTCCAACATGTGACGGGTCTCGGCATTTCTTATTGAAGTTAATATTAGCATGGTTGGTACAACGGTAGTTTGTAAATCCTTGTTCCTGGTTCGATCCTTGAGCATTTAAAATGTATAAAGTAAAAGGACACAAGTGCAACTAATGTGACATTTCAAGGTCCTGGAGAGAGAAACGTTGCCACAATAAAATGTCACATTCGTTTCACTTGTGTCCTTTTACTTTACATATTGTCGGTAATTCTACCAACATCAATAATTTAAAATGTGCTTCTCTTGCTTTTTCTTCCTATTTCTCTGAAAATATATATATAACACATGAAAGCGCTCAGGTTTTATTTCCTATTTTCACTGTGGCATTTTGACATATATGCAATCAAACGTTTGTGATTTATATATATATATATATATATATATATATATATATATATATATATATATATATATATATATTATATATATAATATATATATATATATATATATATATATATATATATATATATATATATATATATATATATATATATATATACATAATATATATATATATATAATATATATAATATATATATATATATATATATATATATATATATATATATATATATATATATAAGTTATGAATGTGTGTGCCTCCCCCAGGGTATCTCTCCCGCTGGGTGTCTTGGTCTGGCACCATCTCTACCCCACCTGGATCACCTTCAAGAAGTTCTCCCAACGAGATCTTGTCTTTGTCACCACAGCCTCCCAGAGCCTTCCTCCCCAGGTCCAGAACATCGTCTAAGGCCTCGAACATGTCGGAGAAGACACCGGTGGCGGTAGGTAGTGGTAGTGGTGGTGGTGGTGATTGAGTGGGTAGTGGTGGTGGTTGTTGAGTGGGTGGTGGTGGTGATTGATTGGGTGGGGGTGGTGGTAGAGTGGGTATCCTCAAGACATCAACGGTCTTTCAAAGTATTGTATTAATTCTGATTTCTTCGCTATTTATATTTAAGAAGTGTGATTTCCAGGATGCTATTTCCTTCACTCTCTCTTCTTTGTTTTTTTTTTTTCTAATTTTGGATTATGTAGTTGACCATGATATAACATTGTTCTTATGTACGTCAAATGTCACTGTTCACCGACGTTCCTCCATGTCAAGTATCACTTTTCTTCCCTGTCAAATATCATTGTTCCTCCATGTCAAATATCACTGTTCCTCCATGTCAAATATCATTGTTCCTCCATGTCAAATATCACTGTTCCTCCATGTCAAATATCATTGTTCCTCCATGTCAAATATCACTGTTCCTCCATGTCAAATATCATTGTTCCTCCATGTCAAATATCATTGTTCCTTCATGTCAAATATCACTGCTCCTCCATGTTAAATATCATTGTTCCTTCATGTCAAATATCATTGTTCCTCCATGTCAAATATCATTGTTCCTTCATGTCAAATATCACTGCTCCTCCATGTTAAATATCATTGTTCCTTCATGTCAAATATCATTGTTCCTCCATGTCAAATATCACGGTTCCTCCATGTTAAATATCACTGTTCCTTCATGTCAAATATCATTGTTCCTTCATGTTAAATATCATTGTTCCTTCATGTCAAATATCATTGTTCCTTCATGTCAAATATCATTGTTCCTTCATGTCAAATATCATTGTTCCTTCATGTCAAATATCATTGTTCCTTCATGTTAAATATCATTGCTCCTTCATGTCAAATATCATTGTTCCTTCATGTTAAATATCATTGTTCCTTCATGTCAAATATCATTGTTCCTTCATGTCAAATATCATTGTTCCTTCATGTTAAATATCATTGTTCCTTCATGTCAAATATCATTGTTCCTTCATGTCAAATATCATTGTTCCTTCATGTCAAATATCATTGTTCCTTCATGTCAAATATCATTGTTCCTTCATGTTAAATATTATTGTTCCTTCATGTCAAATATCATTGTTCCTTCATGTTAAATATCATTGTTCCTTCATGTCAAATATCATTGTTCCTTCATGTCAAATATCATTGTTCCTTCATGTTAAATATCATTGTTCCTTCATGTCAAATATCATTGTTCCTTCATGTCAAATATCATTGTTCCTTCATGTCAAATATCATTGTTCCTTCATGTCAAATATCTTTGTTCCTTCATGTTAAATATCACTATTCCTCCATGTTAAATATCACTGTTCCTTCATGTCAAATATCACTGTTCCTTCATGTTAAATATCACTGTTCCTTCATGTCAAATATCACTGTTCCTTCATGTTAAATATCACTGTTCCTTCATGTCAAATATCACTGTTCCTCCATGTTAAATATCATTCAATTCAATTCAATTCAATTCAAAGTTTATTCTCTATAAGGATTACAATGCTGAGTTTACAGAAATTTGGTTATTGTTTGGTTTACATGTAGTAAAATTGTGATTACAGAGTGTACCACTAGAACGCTTAGCATGGCTAGGCATTTCGGGCATACTTAGTTTTATTCTTAATTGTAAAATATTACAAATATTACAAATTATGAGGTAAGTTGGTCTTATGGCTAAGTGACTAAATACTAGTTTATGAGTTTAGCAATGTGAATGCTTTTGTTTTGGCACAGTATATAGTTTCAGTATTGGAGTATCACAGGATTCATTATTTTAAGACTGAGATTAATATTTCTGTTTATGGTCAAATGAGTGAGCGAGTGTAAGTGTGAACCACCAGGTGGTATTCGTGTAGTTAGTTGACGGGGTGTATCAGGAAGATAAGATGTTTTCTAATGGTAGTTTTGAAGGTGATGAATGTGTCTGCAGTTCTAGAGTTCTCAGGTAGGGTATTCCAGATTTTAGGGCCTTTGATATACATTGAATTTTTGTAAAGGTTTAGTCGGACACGGGGAATGTCGTAGAGATGTTTGTGTCTGGTGTTATGCCTGTGGGTTCTGTCACAACTATCAAGAAAGCGTTTTAGGTCAAGGTTGATATTAGAGTTTAAGGCCCTGTAGATATAGATTGCACAGTAGTAAGTGTGGATGTACTGAACTGGGAGTAAGTTTAGATCTTTGAAGAGTGGGGGGGTGTGCTGCCAGGGATGGGATTTAGTGATTATTCTTACTGCAGCTTTTTGTTGGGTTATTATTGGCTTTAGGTGTGTTGCTGCAGTTGATCCCCAAGCACAAATAGCATAGGTGAGGTATGGATAAATAAGTGAGTGGTATAGTGTGAGAAGGGCATTTTGCGGCACGTAGTATCGTATCTTGGAGAGGACCCCAACCGTTTTGGATACTTTTTTGGCTATATGCTGGATATGGGTGCTGAAATTCAGGGTGTTGTCAAGGTATAAGCCTAGGAATTTTCCCCCATTATTTCTGGTAATTAGAGTGTTGTCAATCTTAATGTTAATTTGTGCATCTCCTGCTCTGCTACCAAACATAATATAGTAAGTTTTGTCAGTGTTAAGCGTAAGTTTATTGGCTGTCATCCAAGTCGATATTTTAATCAGCTCCTCATTCACAATGGTGTTGAGGGTGGCAAGATTAGGGTGAGAGATGACATAAGTCGTGTCATCAGCAAAGAGAATGGGTTTCAGGTGTTGGGATACGTTTGGAAGGTCATGTTCCTTCATGTTAAATATCATTGTTCCTTCATGTCAAATATCATTGTTCCTTCATGTCAAATATCACTGTTCCTTCATGTTAAATATCATTGTTCCTTCATGTCAAATATCACTGTTCCTCCATGTTAAATATCACTGTTCCTCCATGTTAAATGTCACTGTTCCTTCATGTCAAATATCATTGTTCCTCCATATTAAATATCACTGTTCCTCCCAGTCAAATATCACGGTTCTTCCTCTTCAAATAAAACTACTCTGTCTTTACACTAGTGCTTTTAATATTCAAACATCAACAGCAGCATATGATGTGCAGTAATATCTCTTTGACCCATGATGTGCTAAACATGTCAAGTAACACTTCGATGAGATATTATGTTAATAATGCCAATTAACATCTCTTTGACTTACGCTACGTTATTATTTGTGAGGTTTAATATGCATTGACTATGAGAATGACGACATTTGTGTATAAGCTGCGTTTATTTTGTTAAATAACAGATATTTTAACTATGATGGGTGTTAGTTATGTAAGCTATTATCCCTTTTGCCATTAAATAATAGTTTGGAGATGTATACGTGGTTTTAACCTTATAACTATGTGCTCTAAATATATTAAGGCTACAATGAAGTTATATTACAGCAGCAACAAAGTACATTAAGTTTACACTCTGTCTAGGCTCAATGGACAGATTAAGTGACGGAAAAGATGTTGCAGTTTTGCATCCACGAAGCCAAGGGAGAAATGTAGTCAGGCACTCGTTAGTAGTGACACCAACACAAGAGGTCACATTTGACTCCAGCAGAGAGCAAGCCGCAGTCCCGATTAGCAGCTGAACACTCCACTGGCAGCCTAATCAGTTTCAACGAAGTTCTGGTGGCAATCGGATCTTCAAGAAGGGCACTTTCTCGCATTCCACAAGCATATCATTTGCTGCAGATAAATTCACAGACCTTCTCAAGAAAGTCAAAGGAGAGTTCCGCAACTGAGAAGCCCGAGACACCGTTGGGGTATAACCCAACCTAATTCTGTTCGGTGAAGCTTGTCTAGCAGTACCCACATACAAGAGACGGAAGATCGTAAACAATAGTCATCAAAGCAGTACGCAGCATCCTAATAGCATATAACACGCTGCTCCATCAACGTACGAATCACCCAGGCAGATCCATGAAAAATGCCACTGATAAATAGGTTTGGTTACAGGTTAGAAAAAAAATTGAACTTGGCAAACAACAGTTGAGACAGTGAGAATAATCCCCAGTGACACTGCCAAGATTGAAACGGTAAGAAATAGGTGAATTATTACCTATAAGATATTACAGGCTAAGTATTATCTATGGTTTATTCCAGCCGAGGTATTGCAGAAATTCTGAGGATGCTTCAGTCTCGCACTTTTTTTTAAAACTAACCACTGTCAGATTTATTTCTGCAAAGCATTAAAGTGATCATCGAAAAGGTCTTGTTTTGACTCGAGAAAAAATCTGTACCCACTGTAAGAAAAAAAAAAAAAAGACACCCCCCAAAAAAAAAAATAAAATCATTCTTGATGTAAAAAAAAATGCTATTGCTTTTAGAATGTAAAAAAAAAAGTCATCTTTGTAAAAATCGGTACCTGCAGTAAAAAAAATATTTACTTTATTCACTACGAAAAATTTGTATTCGATTAAATATTATTTTTGCGTACTCACTGACAAAAACTTTTGCTGGCTTGAAAAAAAAAGTAAATTCTGCCCCTTACTTTGAAAATTATACCAAAAAGCAATATTCATGAATAATATGCAGATGTGTTCACATGTTCACTCTAGCTTGATAAATGTGTTCAAACAACCATGATGAATTTGTGACAAACACAAAGGTAATCACGTTTGATTGTTAGTTAATTTGCACAGGTAATTAACCGTCACTCATGGCCCCTTTGTATTCGAGTCTCTCCGGTCGTTTATCATCTGTTCTTCTCTCTTATCTCTTCCTCTCTCCCCTTCTCTTACTCTCCTCCTGTCTTCCTCTCATTTTTTTTCTGGCTTTCTTCCTTGTTTCTTCACCTCTATGTATTTCCTTAACCCCTCCTTTCTCTCTCTCTATCTATCTCCTCCAACTCCTCCCACTTTCTTTCATTACTTCCTTTCCCATGCTTATATTACGTTAATTATACACAGGTCAACAAGAAAAATTTCATTGTCAAAATATTTGAAGATATTTAGGCTATTTTGGTGTCGCTGAATT